CGTCCTCGGACCAACATTTCGTCCGCTTGGCTGTATCTCTTTCCGTTTGGGCGGTAGGGGGTATTTCTAGACGATCCAGTCTATACCAGCAGGTTCGACCTGCTGCAGCAACAGCAGCAACAACCAGGGCCTAATTTGATGGGAGTTGAGCTGCAGCAGCAGCAATTAGGGCCTAATGTGATGGGAGTTGAACCGCTGCAGCAGCAGCCAGCAGGGCCTAATGTGGGAGAACAAATTGTTGGTCAGGCATCAAACTCGGAGTGTCATCAGCATTGGGAGGACGGAAGTGATGACATTGCACAACGTGTATTAGATTTTTTTAATAGTGGTAAGTTGTCTGTTTCGGCATCATTAACTATTTATTCTTCAATAATGTATAATCAAAGCCTGTAATTTTGTTTATTAACCATTAAGAGGACAACCAGCAGCATCCGGAGACTTCCTTTAATTTGGATAAGCCAATTAATGATGATGTCTTTGCATCATGCAATGAATCTGCCAAGCAGCCTGATTGCGAAGAGATTTTAGATGTTGTTAGTACTTTAAATTTGGACAATGGCAATATTAATAATATTGGTAGTCCTGGTTTCAACTCTACAGTGTTGTAAGGTACAGTATCCGGCATATTTTTTCCATCTGACCCAATGTTTTCTTGTTATACCTCTTACAATTTATTCATTCCATACTCTTTGCAGCTACTGTTTCAGATCCAGTAATCAATTATACTGACAAATTAGCTACACCGGTGCAGCAACCTGCTAAAGGTTTGCATTAAAATTGTTAATGGAATATTTCTAACTGCCTTCATCTCTTTATAAATATATACATGTTTGGTTGTTATTGTTTCAGAGTGTACTGATCAATCAGCATCTGATAAGCAGCAGAGGATTATCAAGAGTGTCACTTCTGCATGCCTGCTGAACTCTCCTGCCAGAAAGAAAAATAAAGGCACTGCTTCCTTCACTAGTAAGTTTCTGTTTTCATGTTAAGAATGACGTTTGACGTTTTGATATTAACATGGCTGTGTATTGTGTCCTCCTCAGTACATTCTCCATCACCTGTCAAAACTCCCAAGAGGAAGCAGAGCAAAGCATCTCTCCAGTGGGATTCTGAGGACACAACATCTTTTGTGGACATCCTTGTTGCTCATAAGGACGACCTGGTGCTCCCTCAGATACCACTCTCTACATGGAAAGAAATATCACTGGCACTTCGTGATATCACTGTCATCAAGTCTTGGCAAAATTGTAGGGACAAATTCCACCAAATGAATGCCTTCTTTGTTGGCACAGTATTGCCAACAGGGGGCTTACTTGGGGTCAAAATTGGCCCTATTATACTAAATTCTGTATTATTTTTGACATTCCCGAGGATTACCATGAGCTGGTACTTGAAGAAAATTTTGATGTGCTTAATAATGGACAAGACTCCCAGGCAGGTAATTTTCCCACCACAGGTTCACATATAACATTAATTTTTTACAATATGTGGTGTTAAAATTTTCTTCTTTGTTAAAGGAGGACGACTTTGGACACGTGACAAAGTATTGCTCTTAATTGCTTTGTACAAAGCAAAAATGCCCATGTTCAAAGCCTCAAAGTCTTGCCTGCGTCACAATGTACTGTGGGCTCAGATAAGCCAGGAAATGAAGACGTTTGATGTGAATATCACTTGGAAGCAGTGCAAAGATCACTTTGCAACTCTAAAGAAAAAACTTCATGAGGAGCACCTGAGCTGCAATAACACTGGTGCAGCCCCATCAACATGGGAATTTTACAATGATATGTTGGAGCTCTTTGAAGGAGGTCCAACTTTGAATGCTCCCCACTCTGTGACCGTTGGACTGGGCCTGACTTGCCGAGCTAATGGGGAGGTGGAAGAAGAGACCAAACGCACTACAAGAACAAGGAAGAATACAAACCCACAGCAAAAGCAGCAGGTGAAGGCTAGGAAACCTCTGTATAAAAGTTGGGCAGTAGAAATGCATGAAAAACAGTTTGAGCAGAGAGAGAAAATTTATTATGAGGTTCATTTACTGCGCACAAATAATGAGAAGACAGCAGTGGAGAGGCGTGAGGTCTTTCGTAAAATCAATGCAAGACTCGATCAACTAAAAAATGTCATTGGTCAATCTAATGTCAGTGATGATGACGATGGCATTCAGAAGCTGCCACTAGAGGACTAAACTGTTGTCTGATTGTTATGTTCAAATTAATTATTGTTTTTCTTTTGTTTAATTGCACAAGTTTTGCAATTTCCCTAGTTAAGGGTACCATCTACCCTAAGGATAATTTTATTTAACTGACTTATGTTAGTTAGCTCTACTCACTAGTTTTGTACATCATGTGATTTTGTATATTCTAAGTGTTGAAAACTAGTCATGTGTGGAGCAAGAGTTGACTGATATACATCTGAAACTGTGTGTGGTGACAATGAGTTATCACTAATGATTATTATTCATTTGTATTGAAATAAGTGAAAGTTTGCTTCCAGAAAGATTAATGTAATTTATTTGGCAAGATTCTTTATATTGTTAAAAA